CTCAATATATAAATGAGAGTAGGCTGGAAAGCTCTCTCTCTCTTCCAGGATTGCAGTTTCAGGATTTTTTCTCCTCCAGGATCGCTAGCCAGGAACAGGCTGGGCATCAGTCGGCAGGTGGTGAGCAACTGCACTCTGCATTGCACATTTGGATATTCCATTATTACCCTTATTATCATTATTATTGTAATTTTATTTTATTTCAGTTATTAAATTGTTTTTCTCTTACCTCATGAGTTTTCTCACTTTTACCCTTCTAATTTTCTTTCCTCATTCCCTGGGTAGGGGAGGGTGAGCGAGCAGCTGTGTGGTGTTTGGCTGTCGTCTGGGTTAAAACCATGACAAGATATCAACACTGGTTTAGTCACAAATCCAAAACACAGCACCATATGGGCTGCTACAAAGAAAATTAACTTCTTCCCAGCCAGACCCAATACGGCATCATGACATGACATGCACAAGGACTGATGAGCTCTGATGTAAAATGTATGTATTGGATGTTTTCACACAAGTAGGACTAGACAAGAGGATATTAATATAAATGTTTGTAGGACTAGGGGTTTGAATGCATTTATTCAGGCCTGGCAGCAGTATAACATGTGTCTATCATGATCAAGACTTCGGCTTTAATTGTGGCCCCTAAGCACAACTTCACAAAAAACTCATTTACTAGAAATACCATGACTGTAGAGATACAAAGTCTTCTATCTGCTATTAAAAACATATCAATAGAGAAGTAAAAATACCATTGCTCGGCAAGACTGTCAGTGAACACGAGATACTCATTGCTCTTGACACATTCCCTTAGACAAGCTACAGCACACATCGCTCTCACTCTTCATTGTCAAAGCTCACATTTTCTGTGCTTTTGCACATTGAGTACTACCAACAATATTAACATTATACACACCAACCTCTTCCAGCCTCACATCTCCCTTTCACCTACCTAAAGTCATATTACCCAGAAAGAGCATCATATGCTGTGGTGACAGGACTGGGAGGGAAGTGGGATGGAGGCTTATGCGACAGGTTATACATGATCCTGGGGTGAAAGGCAGGATCATGGCACCAGAGAGCAATGAATCTTCCAGGGGGGTCCTTGAAAGCTCTAATGGAAGACAGAGACCTGAAAGCAATGTAGCACTGCAGCTCTCCGGCCCTGCCCAACCAGGGTAGCCTTGCCTGGGTTGTTGGTGAGGAGCTGGAGAGATGCACTGGAGGAGGTGGGGGTACCCAGTGGTTGGCTTTCAGACCTAGAGCAGGAGACTGGGTAAGTCAGCAAATAACCAGCGCAGGAGCTGTCTTTTCATCCTTCCACATAAAATTCTGGTTGGAAATACCCAGCAGGGGTAAGGAAGACATTTTGCTGTTATGGTTTATTGCAGTTTGTGACAGGTTGACTTGGAAAGGATGCTTCACTGTCATGGGCTAGGATGTTGAAGAAGAGCAGCAGCAGCTGAGTGGGGACATGGGGAGCATCCTGTCTTGTGTGGGGGAAGCCTCCCACAGGCAGAGCATGTGAATAGCTGAAGCAATGCAAATGCACCCATCAGCTCACAATTTCACCATATAGACAAGTTCTAGGCTGTGAAAAACAAACAAACAAACAATCTCCAATAGAAACAGCATTATTTTTTCACATGGTCCGTTGGGTTTTACTGGTACTCTGCCCCAAAAATTACAGTGGTCATTGGCTTCCTTAACAAGCATCAAATGACAGAACTATGCTGCAAATATTTCTTATTTTCCTAATTTTTCTTTTAATAAAGCTGAGTGTCTGGAATCTGATAAGTGCTGCAAGAGATGTTGTTGTCTAAGGCTCCAAGTTGATAAAATATGTGTAAAACCAACAATAAATGTAAAATGATATGATGAATCATTCTGTTACAGTGATCTGCCTATGTACCTCACTGTTTCTGAAGGCAAATGCACAACTGCTTGGAGAAGTTACGCTATGACGCAGAGCAACCGAAGTACCTTAGAATCAGAAAACTAATGAGGCTGTAAAACCTCAAGTAAACTTTCAAATCACTTTCTTTTAGTCATCCTTGATTTTTTTGGGGGGGGAGTCACAAAACAACCATGAGGGAAAGGACACTCAGTTGTACATTGTACTTCAATATCAACAGCTGATCATGCTGTGAGCATTTTGGAGTGAATAATGCCAAGATTTGCTACTACCATTACAGTTTCTCCAGGCCTCCCTGAAGGAAGCTGCCTGGAATAGCTGCTGCTGGAAATGTCAATTTATCTTTATTGCCACACCTCAGAAAAGAAAAATCTATTTGTCTTTTTGCTACACATTATTAAAGGACCAGTGTTGACTGTGAAGGGGAATATACAGTAAGCAGTTAGACCTGGGGGAATACTCGCATACAGTGAAACGAGAAGCGACCATTTCAGATATATTAAAGATGAGTTCTAAACAGCTGAAGGAGAAATCCAAAATGAAGCTGGTCTTGCTGCTGCACAGCACCTTTAGATCAAGTCTTCAGGGCACACAGACCCTTTTGAGCCACACTGCGTATGGCTGGGTAGGAAAATTTTCTATGCTTTATTTTTCAAATCTTACTATATGTAGTTCTTAAGCTTTGGGTTAGTACTCTGAAGCTACCCTGCCAGTGACAGACTCATTTTGCTGATAAAGAAGCCCAGGAAGCTGTTGGGAGCATTGCTGTTAAAAAGATACTGATTACCTGCATGCGTTCACCTCTCTCACTGTCCCCACTGCTGCTCTTTCAGAATAGCTACCTCAAGTCCCGGAGAGATGATGAGTTGGGTGACACATATGGCTAATCATTTACACTGTCTCTTTATTCATTTATGTACCTTATATACTGAGGATTCAAGAAAACACCCCTTCCTCTGTTCCTATCAAACAAACACCGATGTCTCCACAAGTTCTGCACCTGTACTGGGCTTGTAATTGTGTAGCTGAAGTCTTCTGAAAAGGGAAGTTGCTCTATGAGCACTTAAAATGGCTGTCACTGCTGTTTTCTTTCTGGTGTCTCTTTTAAAATGCCACCCTCCAGGTAACTTTCATAAGCTCCATGCTGCTTTTTGAATACCTGCCCCCACGTTCATCTTTCTGCTCCTTTCTAACTCCTTACGTTTTCTCTATTCCTAACTTGTGAAGTCCTCATCTGTTTTTCCTTCTTACCAAAATATTGTTTTACCTAAGCCTGGATTTCTCCATCATTTGTATTGATTGATATCTGCAGTATGAGAGTGAGGACACAAAGCTGCTTTCTTTAGCTGGCTCCAGTTTTAAGGCATTGTAGTTCACAGAATGCCTTTTGGGACAACATCACACAGACTCTGTAACATGAGTTTGACTATGCCTGTGTCAGAACAAAAAAAATATAGTCACATCAACAGTAAAACAATAAGAAACACTGCAGAACTCTCCTCCTTGTTTCCTTCCCCTCACTCATTCCTGAAGACCTACATGTGCAAATTATGTCTGCAAGCGTACAGCAGCTGGAACAACATCTGGCAGACATTGGCAGTCTCTGTCCTCAGGAGGGACTACCCTGACTCTTGCTGCATTTCAGTAAATCTCATTAATGTTTGTGTCACCTTCTGTCCTAGGGTTCCTTCACACACTTAGTCATCTTACTTATACTTCTTGAAAGCATCAGGAAACACTGGACACTGCATATTTCAATAAACAGACAGTGGAAACCAGTTATTTAGTGTCCCACAATTATGACAAAGCAGCATGCTTGGCTGGTGTACCTGGTCTCTCAAGCTGGTTGTGAGGAGTATGATGTTAGAGGTTTGGATTTTGTTTCCAAACACTAGTGTTTCCAAATGAATCAGAGCATATTCTGCAACAGGCTGAAGTGCTACAGGGTTTATCCAAGGACCATCAGTCTCCTCAGGCTTGGGTTGTTTTTCCTAAGTTCTTCAGTTCTTCTGTACAATCTATAGCAATGGCTGGTAGCTGCCAGCTACATTTTAAAGCAATTTTAAGAGATGCTTTCCCACTGCAGAGGAAGCCTATCCTTGTGTCTTCAGATCTGAATTTTCCAGTGGTTTTGAACAGGCAGTTGACAAGCTGTGAGTCATTCTACCTAAGTTGGATGTCTTAGATTTAGAGGCTCTCAAAACATTTTGACTTTGATACATTTATATAGATACTGCCCCCATCCCAGATGACTAGCCCATTTAAAGGATCTTTTTAAGAGCTGAAATACTGTGCAGTCTGCCACTTTCTTGCACTGGGTTTCCATATAGCTTTGAAAGGCTTCAGTATTGAGCAGTTGCTCTGTCTGCAATGTCTCCTTAACACATTTGGGTGAGAGAAAGATCTGCAGTTCCAGTGGACACTGCAGCAAGCCATTGCTGGCTCCTTCCCTTTTCTTGCTGCATCTCTGCTGTGCTTCTTGCATCCTTGAACATGAGGCAAGTCCCAGCCTGGTCAAACACTGGTCAGAATGCTTGGGAGAAAGAGGAATCATCCAAATGCTATAGAAGCGCAGTGCAGCCATTCTCAGGAGAGGCAAGAGCTTTCATGACGTAAACCTACCTACTGTCAGAACTGATAACAGAGCAGTTTTACTCACTTTTAACCCCCCTAGTCATTCTAGTACTGGTATCTTTAACACGAGGAATTATTTCACCCTCACAGCAGCAATTCTTCCCAAGAACAAATGCACCATCACCCCTTTCGCAGCAGCAGACACAGAGCAGCTGGCAGGGCATGCCCAGGGCTGCAGGGGAATGCTGTGACGGGACTGAGTACTGCAAGTCCAACACCATCTCTTCTTCATACAGCAGGACAATTTTCAGGTTCTGCAGTTGTGCATGTGCATCTTTAAATACACAATTAACTTATTTTTATGTATTGGCATAGCATATCTTGTTATTGGCTGGATCAACACTGGATCACACAATAAATGTGCTCTTGAGGTAGCTCAGTATTTGTAAGAATTAATCCAAAAAGAGGCTTAGCTGAAGGCATTCAGATGCCAAGAGATATTAAATTAAACGAGATATTATCATGTATGTAATTATTTATTGAGCTGAGAATCCATACAAGGTAAACAAATGTTTACACTATCATACAGTAAGCATTTCCAGGGCTTAATAAAAATGATTGTCACTCACTGTGCTTCACAAAAAAATTCATTTTAATGAATAAATAATTTGATGAAATCAAAAAATATTTACAATATAAACAAATGAAAAAGCTTTGGATATATTAATCTGAGCATCCTGTATTTTGCATTTTCTAACTGTATTTCTGTCAAGGTTCTCTCTCTGAAATGGTACAAAGTGGATAGAAATTACAACTCAACAAAGTTAACATGATTTGGTACATGTCTTTCCATTAGTTCAGATAAGCTACATTATGATTTATTTATTATGCACATGTTAGAATACAAATATAACCAAAATCATATATTATCAAAATGCCAGACAGCATTCTTCACAGAACAGAAATGTACACTAGTCTGTGACAATAACTGAGAATCACAGGCAACAAAATATAACAGAAAAGTACAAATTCCTTCATAAGAATATAATTGTGCTCTCTTATTTACCAGAGGACTATGCTGCTTCACCGCATCAATGGCTATGTATGAATACAGTGTTCAACAACTGCCACATGGTTTGGTTTGGTGCACGTTCATACTGATGTCAAGCTGCGGCATTATAGTGGAAAAAGGGCAGTGCAAGCAGTTTTATAAACATCTTTTTGGGCTCTTAAAAAGAGTCAATTATACAAAGCAGTATAAGCGTAACACTGAGAAGTCTTCATCTCATTTACACAGATATCATGAAGTGACTTGCTTTGTTTGTGATGGTGAAAGGAGGAACTTTCTCTGTGCTGTTTATGCAATCAGCCAGAATTCAAGTATTCCAAAGCCACTTCATAGCAGAATTTGTATTGATCCTGAAAAATCAAAAGGAAACCACAAAGACAGTTATTGGAGGAACTTAATTAAGGGGATCAATATTTCTCTTCTGTTAAAATTATTTGCTATCAGCTGTTGTCAGTGGGAACCAGTTTGAAAATCCAATTTACATTCAGATAAGAAAATCTTTATATTAACCAGACAATAGGCACTACACACATTACCTTATGGTACTGCTCATATTAGATGTGTATTTAGCTGCTCTAATACACTTGGACTACACAACTAAGCAACCCTTCTGCCATCTGTCAAAATGCTCCGGTAGCACTTTACCAGAATTGGAATTATTGAAATTCCTCCCTGGAAATGTTTATCTTAAAATAGCCCAGTATCTATTACTTTCCAGACTGTAACTTATTTTAGTGTTGATCATATATGTTGATCATGTTGATCTCCTTCCCATGGCATGCGAACCTGGTCTGCATCCTTCAGATACGAAGGGTCGTGACTTCGCCCCTTTCACAGCTTCAGTGATATGGAGAGCCCAATGCTTTTGACTGACCCTCGCCCACTCTGCAACTTTATATGATGCAGTACAACAACAATCAGAAAGACATTAACACACATGGACAACCTCTAAGTTCTCTAAGTTCTTTTGCTGAGAGTTTCAAAAGAAAACAAATCTTAGGTGCACATATCACCTAAGTTATGAATGAGTTGTATGTGAGGTTTTAAGATCCTGCAGGGTTCCATAAAGTGCTTGTGCCTTCTTTGGAAGGAGAAAAGAATAAAAAAAGGAGAAAGAAAAGAAAGGAGTATTACGTAAATTAACAATTTTCTGCTTTTATTGCATATATGTTTCTAAATAAATTACAATTATTCTATAACTACATAACAAAGATCAAAATAAGAGATCAGCCACTCATTCATTTAAATTCTTCAATGCTCATTTTATGCTGACTTACTGATCCAGCACAATAAGTGTCATTTTTAGTAAACCAAATACCCATATTAAAGAGTACACACATATTATTTCCCACTGTGTTCACTCATGTGTGTTCCTTTGTACATTTTTATTATTCACTTGATGGTGGATCTTAAAAGTCTCTTTATGTTAGCTAGGTTCAGGGAGGTATATATATTTTTTTTCCTAGGACACTTACTGGTAGGTCCAGTAATCACAGAATCATAGAATCATAGAATGCTGTGAGTTGGAAGGGACCCACAAGTCCAACTCTTGCCCTAGCATAGGACAATCCCAAGATTCACACCATGTGTCTGAGGCCATTGTCCAAATGCTTCTTGAATGTTGCCAGACCTGGTGCCACAACCACCTCCCTGGGGAGCCTGTTCCAGTGTTCCACCACTCTCTGGGTGAAGAACCTTTTCCTAATGCCCAACCTAAACCTCCCCTGGCACATCTTCCTACCGTTTCCCCTGGTGCTATCATTGGTCACCAGAGAGAAGAGATCAGCACCTGCCCCTCCTCTTCCCCTTGTGAGGAAGTTACAGACTGCAATGAGATCTCTTCTCAGTCTCCCCTTCTCCAGGCTGAACAAACCAAGCGACTTCAGCCTCTCCTCATATGGCTTCCCCTCTAAACCCTTCACCAATTTAGTGGCCCTTCTCTGGATGCTCTCTAGGAGCTTTTTATACTTTTTTATACTTTTTATATCCTTTTTATACTGTGGCGCCCAAAACTGCACACAGTACTCAAGGTGAGGCCACACCAGTGTATCACAGAATGCTTTGGGCATTCTGTAGTAGATATTTTATAATACTATGTATTACCTTTGCATGACGGCTGAAGAATTTCATAGGTTTCCATATTGTATGGATGTGGCATTGGGATTTTTACACTTGCAGGAAAACCAAAGTTTTCAATGAAATTAAGAGATGAATCTCTTAAGTGTGGAATGTAAAGATTGACCTTCATCTAGTCAGAAAGTGCATAAAAGGTTTTGATAAAGCAGTCTTGGAACTATTTTTGTGAAACACTATTATAATTCTGAGCATTTAATCTTTTATCACAGTATTTTACAAAGGTCGATTAATATTATTCTCATTTTTCAGATGTGGAAACTGAGGCAAAGACACATTAATATAAGAAAGGGCATACAGGATAAAGTCAGTAACAGGATCAGGAAAAGAACTGAAGTGCCCTGATTCCCTTTTACCACGAAACAATCTACATGGATATTGAAACCTTGCTAATTCAAATATTTGTTCCTACAAAGTAGCAGACCACAACTGAAGAGATGTAGTTCTAACTCCACTTTGTCAGTGATTTCTGTGATAATGGGGAAAATCCTGATCACTCCCTGCCTTTGTTCCTCTGTCTGTAAAATAAGGAAAACAATACTGATCCCCTTCACAATTGCTTTTAAATCTCCTAATAAAAAGGCCTTACAAGACCTCAACGCCGTCCAGACATTCTCAATACCATCCCCAATTTACTAAAAGCTCTTTTTATATTCTAAAATAATACAATTAGCTTTTGATTAAAAAAATTCTCTGCTGAAAAATGGAGACAGCTGCCTGACAAATCTACACCTGGAGAACTGTCACAAAAGGGAATTTATAGAGCATTTTCTTCAACTGTACATCTTCACACTGGTAATTTTCTTTTTATTTCTACAAAATAAATGAATAAGAGATCTGTGAGTTCTGCAGGCTTAAGCTCTGGGAGAACGAAGAACAGCAGGCCTGCCAACTCTCTATCCAAACTCTGCTACCTGAATGAAGAAGTGGGACATTTTTCTTCATATCTAAGAAATAAAAATGTATGGTTCTCAGCATGATGATTCTCCTCCTGAGAATATAAACCAGAGGAAGAGGAGCCAACTAAGCTGCTCCCTCCCACCACTGTGAAATCTTGACAGTTTCTCACCAATAAAAGATTCACAGTTCCCGTATTGCTGGCTTATGGACCCATAGTGCTGCTTGTAAACTCCCTCCTTGCTTTGCACAGCTGGCAACATCTGGCTTTTTTCCATGAGCCTGGCTAGAGCAGGGTCTAGGGGTGGATCTAAGACTTCACAGGTAAGCTAGATGAGAGTACTGCAATGGAGGATGTGGTGGGAGCCATTCTTCTGTGGGACAGATGAGGTGCAGTGATACCTGTGGTGGGAAAGTGGATGGCCCTACCCATCTACACAGAACCTGAAAGCCTCACTCTTCCCAACAGGAATTCCTGCTTTCTGCCTTTCTTTCCAGTGTGGTTCACACCCAGATCTCGGTAGCTCATCTGAGAGAGAGGGATCTCTCCTAAAATTACAAGGGAATGGACTAGCTCTGTGAGATGCCTCCTGCTTAACCCTGGGTGCTCTGCAGAAAAGATGTTGAAATATGACCCAAACTTAAGTTTAACCAGAGCTTGCAAAATTAGCTCAGATTGATTTAGCATCACTGAAGCTGCCCAGACGCTGCTTGCCACTGCCTATGACACTAAATTGAATACAGCTGCCTCTCAAGCAGCCACCTCTCCAGCAGGATGTTGTAAAACCATCTTTATAGCCCAGGCTTCAGATTGAGTGTCACGTACACCCATCTCCAAGTACAGAACTACACACTGGAGTGTTAAGAACCTGCTGGTTTAAGCTGTTCTGTAGCTCTTGTGGCATAGCAGCTGGCACTTCAGCAATTCTCAATTTTTTTAAAAAAAGCTCATAAAACTCTCTCTAGGAAAATAATTGCACATGGCCCCTTGTTTCTGAACTTCTTTAATCTTTCTATGAGATAGAGCAACCATAATTACATGCAATATTCTGGATGTCAAACTGAAATTCATGGCTTTGATAAATATTAGGTGATTAAGCTATTTATAAAATATATAATTTGAAAATCTGGCATTTCATTTTACATAACTATTATTTCTACCATGCAAGGGCTGCTCTCCACTTGGCTCAGCCTGCTAGAAAAGAAAATTAATAAGGATGTTCGGCTGAAAGTTTAAAACTCTTAAAAAATTCAAATGAACAGAGACAAAGTCTCCTTGGGAAGAAAGCAGTGTAAAAATACTCTTACAAGTGAAGTGACTTCATTATCCCCTTTGAAAATGACTTGCTTGCTTTGTGAACAACTCCTGCTGCAAATCCTGGAAATCTTAGTGAGTCTTCTGAGTAAAAGGAAAATTTTCTATTTAATGGTGCAGTTAAAAAACTCATACCAGAAGGTCCACCATGTTAGGCTTATTATTCCTCAGTGTCTTCACAGCATGGAATACATCCACAGCCCTCTGATGTCGAAGCATTTCACAAACAATACTGATTGCACAAAATGTCCCACTCCGGCCACCTCCATTCCTAAAATAAAAGTGATAACATGGCTCAGTTACAATTGACTCTATGTTACAACTTCATACAGCACCAGAGATGGCTACAGAAGGCACGTGTTCCAGTAGGGAGGAGCCACAGAACATTCCTGCCCCCGAAGGCTGCTGAACTCTACGCAGAACACAATTTTTAATTGGAATTAATGGGCTGAAAGATCTCAAAGCTATGATTCAGAATTCAGCAGGGTGAAAGCATAGAGGGAAATGAACAGCTGAGTTTTGCACTGCTCTTCAGTGAACACTTGAGACAGCACAAAGAGGATGCTAAAATAAGGATAAGGTACTTAGAGATTCAGTTCAACACCCCTTTACACTGTAAACACACGAGGTTGCGGTGAACATCAGGCCTGGAAATGTTATAGGGAAAGTGGATCTTTAAGTTCTTTTATTCCAAATCCTGGTGCTTTCCTCCTGGACCCAAAGGCATTTCAGAGGAACAGCAGAAGTGCCAAAAGTCTGACTTGTAGGAGCCATTCTGGTGGCTGCACATTTGATGTGGCACTAGGTGGTGCAGCAATATTCCCCTGGCTGATGCCCTCACTCCCTGCCAGCCCGCAGAGCGGCCAGCTGCCTGGCAATGACTACTTATGAAAGTGTATGCATTCCCCCTCCACCTGAGAACCTGAAGTGACTTGCTAACAAAGAAGTCAGGCACCAATGTTCATATGCATGATCAAATACAGTATTTAATAATACTTTATCCCCTGTTATTTTTAATCTTTAAGAGAATCTCTTTCTTTCTGGAAACCCTATTATTTCTCCAGCTATTCTAATCAGAATCTTTAGGCTGCACTTCACTGAAAATAATAAACCTTAATAATTACCAGAGTGCAGACTAGTTAGGTAGCGGGTCTTTCAAACCGGCTTCGCAAATGGTTGATTTTCAAAGGAAGATACAACGTCGCACATCTGTCACATCCAGGCGGTATGAAAAGAATGCTCTCTGCTGCCAAAACATTGCCTGATATTGTGGGACTCTTTGAGAATTTTAATTAAAACAAAGTCATTTAAAAGAACTATATTAGAGCTTTTTCTTTCTTTACTGCCTGGAAGTGACGCATGTGTGATGTTGTACAACTATTTAATATCATCAGCCACCTCACAGATAACAGTAATTTGCACTTCAAAAGGGTCTTTTCAGCTAAAGATCTCAAAACATTAATTAATCACACTGCACAATGCTCCTTTGATCAAAGTATTATTATCCCCATTCTACAGATGGGGAAACTGAAGAGTAATGACCTGTTCAAGGTCAGTGATAGTGGGGATCATTAATACACTTCTAGAATTTCCTCCATCGTTCTAACATTCAGTAACTGCAAACCAAACTTCAGGAAGTTATTGTCTACTTTTGGGTCCCAACTTCTGAAAGGGTATTAGCATGTGGTTTTCCCATTAGCATGTCCCTTCTCCATCATGGCAGCATCTTTAAGCAGATGTTTAGAGGAAGAGGGATACAACTTCAAGGACTGAACACTTGGTTTCAAGAGATGAGCTTCTGCTGAGGGCAAACAGCATGTAGCACTGTTAAGCCACATCGAAAGGAGGATGGTGAAAGAGAGCCTGCACCAGTGGAGCATGAAGGTCACAGGAGGACAAAAATAAATATCTCATTATTAGAGAAAGGTAAGGCAATTAAAGGATTAGCTTAACTGGTCTATCACACCACTTTTAATTCTCTGCTTTATACACCTCTCCAATAGTATTATTTCTACAGTCTTTATCTGTAGAAATAAAAGGTACATTGTTCTGAAGGTACAATTTTTATTCACTCTGAATAAATATGTACCTTTTCCATTTGCAAAAGTCACTGGACATCTTTATATAAAAGAGAGTTAAGTTGTACCCATCATCATTTCACAGGTGTCTACCAAGGGACAGAGCGGGAAACTCAAGAATCTACATTAAAAAAAATATACAACTCCTCTTGTATTCAAATTTTTTAAATCAGCAGCTGTATTATTTATCAGTTCCAGATTAGATAGATGCTTCTTCACCTCTTCACAAATCTTTTAAAACCTGGTAGAAATTCTGTAACAGTGTTCCCTGACTTTCTCTCTCCTGTTTCCAGTACTTACAAACAATGTACAACCGTGCGTCCCTCTCCCCCATTGTATTCTTCCTGCCACTTCTCCACTTGGCGGATGAGCTTCAAGAAGGAGCGTTTAGAAACAGGAGTGTCTCTGTACATAGGCCATCCTAGGAACTGGAACTGCTGCACCATCCGATAGCCATCTTGGGGCTGCAGAGATTCAGATAAGCAGGAAAAAGCAACAGCATTTTTTTTGGTACGTAATTTAGATATTTGCATCAATGAGGAAAGTTGTTCAGGCAGATCACCACTGACAAACTTCTAGTGTAATTTCAACTGCCCTTGAGGAGTTAAAGACTTTTAATTTCTAACGGAATTATTAGAATAAGAGGTTTTAAACAGAACGATATACAAATAGATTGGAACAGAGCAATGGCACAGCTGCAGGATCAAGCAAATAATTAATTAATATCATAGCAGGAACTTAGCAGCAAAGAGGGAGCTGCAACACAACTTCAGTTATATACCTTTTATATATGCTTCAGTATTATGAAGAATGTTTGTGTGCTTCTGTCTTTTTTTACAAGAAAGGTCAAAATCACTCAAGGTATTGAGAGGATATTGAGGATTAAAAAAAATCCTCAGATTTTTTCAGCTTATTAAAAATCTAACTTTATTTTATTTTATGTGTGCTACTGCAGCAGTCAGAACCCCTCTGGTGAAATGTCGCTGAACAGTAGCTTTGTGGTGATTTAAAATAAAAAAGGAGCATAGAACAAGTGTTAGTGGCAGAAAATTACAGTCCTTTGAAAATAATAAATACACACATGAAAACTGTTTTTGTAGTCCAGGATTTGCCACTTTCACTTCTGTGCAAAGCGAGGGCACTTTAGTGCCACTTTGAAAATGAATAACACACAGAAATGTTGACATTACAATATTTTCTCTAGAAGAAGTAATAGACAGGATGTAAGATTAACAAGATAAGGGACTAAACCAAAGTGGATGCAGCATTAGATATTTTCTTCAATGGGTTTTGTCTGCTTTATGTCAAAATTTGGAATCTTACTTTTTTCCTGGCCAGTTTGTTTCAACTGACACACTAAAGCACACCACCCAGACCCAGCACCTTCTAAAGCTCACATTAATGCTGCTGGAGATTATGTTTTTGTGTTGCCATATTTACTGCAAATGTAAGGCCTTCACAGACTTAAAGAAATAATTTGCATCTTATTATCTGCTTCCCTGTTCAGAGATTAGTATGCTTTGGGGCCTTTCATTGTCCTGAGAGCTACGGGATCTCAGGATGGTTCCTGACTTTTTTCAGCAGGGAGTGCTGCATATTCCCAGCTACGGTTCTTTGGTGATCGATACCAGTCCATTGCAAAGGCTCCCTCCATCTGGATGGGAAGAGATGCCTGGTCTATGGTGGAATCTTTTTTCCAATCAGCTTGAAAGACATTCCTCATTTAGTCTTCTGTCAACTTTATGGAAGCATAAAAGCTGGGTATGAGAACATACTCGTCCCTCTGAAGTACTTACATATATTATGAAGTGTGATTAGTGGGACAGGATCTTCCCTAAAAGCCTGGGACCGGTATTGAAAAACATGCCTAGTACTGGTGCACAGCTTCCTTTGTATGACACAAGATACAAATATGCAAGATGGCTAATTTCTAACTGTAAAAACCAGCACTGATTTCAGCATTTCTTGGCTACCATACAATCTGAATACTGCATTTATTTCATTTGCATTTAACACACTTGACATATGCATTAAAATATTTTTTACTTTAATTAAACATAAAAGGCTTTTTTCTCATCAGTTATGGTGTGACTCAGTATTGCAACATTGCTTTCAAATAAATAAGCTGAAAAATGAGAATGGTTTTATGTGAGTTTAACTTTCATTTTTTGTGATTTGAGTAGAGTCAACTCATCTACTGAGACAGAACTGTTTAGCAAATAACATCCTTACTCTGGCTGCATTATAAATTCGGAATATCCGGCTGATTATGTCTTCTTCTAAATCAGCTGATACAAACTCCACCTGAATGGGACCGTGTCGGTGTACTCCATTTTCTGGCCAGTACTGAGGACACAGCTATAGAAGACCACAAACACAAAAGAACACAGTTAATCACTGTGAATTTCATGCTGCCTTTTCTAGATTTTTCTTTGTGCTATATTTATTACTGAGATTCTCACACAATATTTTTATAAAATACACAGCACACCATCTTCCTCCAGTTTTGAGCACTCTGCTTTTACTTGTGCAGAACAAGTTTAATCAAATGCTTTTTCACTTAACTGAACATGCTATTTCTTGCAGCTACACTCGCCAGTCTCTGGTATTGGGAGTAACACATTTCTGACACTCAGTGTCAGTTCTACAATACATTATGACAAGACAGGAGGATGCCATCAAATATTACCATATCTTGGAGACAGTGTGAAGCCTAAAGACCAAAGGCCTAGTATCTCCAACCATTCTGAAAAGTTGGTAATAATTCAAGCTACATCAGAATCTGTGCTTTATAGCATGAAGGGTGCATCAATTCTCAAAACTCAGGACTCAACTTTCACATCTGTTTCACCCGTGACTGATGATATCGGCTAATATCAGCATTGCTTTAAATTTTCATCTTATGAATGCCACCCGAAAAGAGTAATTATGCTTTCTTTAGTGCTCAGAAAACATTACTTCTAGGTATCTAAAGATCACAAAGTAATATTACCATTATCTTGTACAGTTTTAGTGTCTAATAATATCCCAATGGCTTAATCCAGGAACCAATTATCATCTATATTAATACTTTAAAGATTAAATCAACACTTTGCAAGGACTTTCTTGAAGCTAGTCTCTGCTTGTCCATTTTTTTCTGTAAAAAACCCTAATGATTTTTTTCCAGGGATATTTAGAGTGGTTCAAGCATGCAGCTTTTGCAAGCATTCACCAAAATTAAGCATGAACTCATGAAATTTTGTTTGCTTGCAGAAGCATTGATGTAATATTTGGAACTTTATTCCATTCAGTAAAACAGCTGTGGTCTTCATTCTGCTGCATTGCTGTTGGTAATCTAAAGCTGAGCTGACAAATCATATTTACTCCAGATGTTGTTTTGCATTTCTTATAACACTTCTCAACAAACCCGTTCAGAGATGACTACATTTTAGGAAAACATAATGATTTACTACATCAATTAAAAGAGAACAGAGTGTGATTTGAAGGAGTTCACTTTAACAAGTTAAAACCAGAAATTTTGAGTAAGAAAATATATTTTAATTTATTTTAAACCCCCCACATGATTCAGTCTGCTGAGCAAATTACTTTCCAAATATTATCTAAATCTTACACAAATTTTTATTATGAAATATGCTAGTGTACAGGATAGCAAAATACAATGCATACAACTAATGCAAATGCCAGTGCTCAGATCATTTAACATGCACAATTTAGTACATGTATTTCAAATACATAGGAACACTGCTCTTACAGATCTTTGAAAAATGGTTAAACGATAATAAGCAGAGCTGTTTGCTGGAGCTGTTTTTAGGAAGCCAAGATTCTCTAAAGTTCTAAAGAAACCAAAAGCATTTAGGTCTGTGCATTTTGCATGCATGTGATGCTAGCGACTCTCTTCCAGTCAGAGTCACTGTGAAGCATTGAATTTCATTCCCCAATAGAGCACAACAATCCACATAAATTGTAATATCTAACCAGAACTGTAAACACTTCATATATACATAAATAATAATAATAACAGTAATTATTAATACATCAGAATGCAACGCTTGTTTTTAATAAGCTCTGCCCTCTCTTTACTTCTGTTTGCTCTGAGGGTTTTGAGATTTATTCCTAATGAAAAGACCGTTACTCATATTAGAGGGAAAAGGTTTAACATACTGCAGAGGCAGGTGTATTAACTGCATATCCCAATAGCTTTTAAAAGCCTGTGAGGCTAAGAAATGCTAGAAATAGCCATGCACTATTGTAAATTCAAAACACAGCCCATGAATTAAAAACCTCTGTTCATCAGTCCCTAACAGTCTGACTCCCTTGAGTCTTTCCTTATTCACTCTGAAAATAATCTTAGATTCATGAATAAAAGTTGCGTCTTTCATTTCTATTTTTCTCCCTGTAGGCAGTTAAGGGCTTGGAATCAGAAATTCAGTCTTTAAAATAGTGTGTGGAATTACTACACATTCCTTTGAAAGACAAAACGGAAGATTAGTAGGTTTTTTTTAAAAAAATCACATTAAAAAGAAATGAGGAAACATTTTTCTAAGTATGTACCATACTCAACAAACCTAAATAGATTCTTGATCATATCAAGAGTAAAAATGACATGCAGTCTGCTATAAAAAATTCCAATTGCTCTTAACCAATAATTAGTAAATATTTACAAATTAAGAATCCAGATTACCACCACATTATTCCAGCAGATGGCTGGTGCAGTTTCTTGGACTCGAGGAAATTATATCCATGTAAGATTGCACAGTTGCGAGTCAGGCTCCAGGATGCTTAGTGATTAATGCGAGTGATTAAACTGCCAAACCAGTAGGTACAGTTTTCCAATTTTCTAAAGAAAATGTACAGCATGCACAACTCTTTTGTTAGGTAATTATATTTCCCCATCCATTTTGTTGCTCTGTTTTCTCTTCCAAAGGATGCTTAGTCTCCAATCTTGTTTAGTTCCTATCTCCTTGCTAACAATGTCATTGTGTGCCAAACATAAGACAGATTTTCACACTGGGAACACCTATCTCCTGGTAAGCAGACCAAGGTCGTTGACCTCTTTCAGGCAAGCTAATGAATAGCTGTTGGCTTCTGTTTATGACTTTTGGCTATTATTAGTGTGTTTCAGACTTGAGTCAGAATTCTATAACTATCATTTTTTTGTTTTTAGCAGCTCTTCCCAAAGTATGTTTATGTATCAGAATAAATTATGGATGCACACACTTATGTGTGTGTGCATTAACATTTTGGTGGAGAAGCTGCTGATAGTCTGATTTATTCCTCTTTTCCTATCTGTATCTGCAAGCTACAAATCATTTTTTTAGTGTGTAAGTATTTAATGTTGTTTTATAAAACTAATTACTTCCTAAAGCTGTTGTGAAGCGCACAAGTGTTTAAATGCTGAGGCACTAACACTCCTTTGTTGAATGGAGCAGTTTTCTGGACTTACCTGTGCTGGATCGACATCGTTCAGCATAACTATTGAAGTGCAGTGATAATCTAGGACCAGTCTCCAGAAATCTTTGACAGTATTTGGTAAGGGATGCTGTGTAACTATAAAAGCTGATGGTTGCTTGTAGCTCTGCAAATAAATAACAAGAGATGGTGATAAAAATGGTAAAAGATAAAAATCTATTTAGCAGAATGCGAGTCATAGCCCCAAAACCTGGGGACTGAAAGCATTATTTCTATTTTCTGTATAATTAATACATTGTTTTCAGCGATTTCCCAAGATCTTATATGCTTCAAAGTTAATAAATTGTATTTGGTCAGAATATAACTTCTGCAGATGTTATATTTCTGAAACTTATTTTATGCCATGGGCACAGTAAAATCATCGGAAGATTTTGCCTCCAATGTGACTCCTACAAAATTTTGAGCAAGAGTTTTGTTTGAGCTGTTAAAGTGCAGATTAATCTTGGATGTCTGCACTTAGCTGTTAATTTGAACGATGCCTGTGAAAGGAAATATCTAGTTATTTTTTCAGAAATATTGTTGAAGTTCTGGTCTTTCTAACAGCAGCGAGGATACACAGGGGATAAATTTCAGTGCTCTTTGTCTTTTTTAGTACCGGAATATGTCACTGATAGAGCTGTTTGGTGGAACTGTTTCATTGTGGATCTCATACCAGCATTTTCACTTATGCCCTCCTGAGTGTTCAAGGCCAGTGTGGCCATACTGAGGCAATTTTTGTGAGGGGGTGCCACTGCTTTCATTAAGGAGGGCAGAGAAGCCTGTACATGCCCTGAAGTATTTGTACTGCAACAGAGATACAACCTCATCAGCTATTTGCATCTTTGAAGTCACTGAAGAGACCACAGAAAATGAATCCAATGTGTTTTGGGGTACAAATGAAGACATGCAAGCCTTGAGTTCTTTATTTTGGTTTCAGCAAACTGCAATCAGCAGGTGTCAATGCTGCTGGTACATCAGCCAGATGCCTTCTATCCTACTGGTCCTGTCTTGCTGGAAGTTGCATGCAGATGAGAGATGCTCGAAGGGCTCTCCATTACTCCCTCACTTAGAAGCCCCAGCAGGTTTTTTTGGGAAAATTGTTCTTAAACTCATTCTAATAGTGAATAATGAAAATTATGCTTGCTACCCCTTTTGCTTGAAGTGAGTTCTAAAGGCTTATATGAGGTGATCTGACTGCATCTCAACTGATGCAAGGGGACTGGGTTAAATGCACCATCTTGCCCGCTGGAGACTGTGTGTTTAGAGAGAGACAAATGTCTGCTCTTGTCTGTCAGTGCAGGGATATTGCAGGAGCCTGGCTAAGGTTCTTTGGGTGGAAAGTTACCCAAATCACCTCCTCCCTTGGAGCCTTTTGCCCAGACACACTTTTGGATCCAGTCATTGTTTCAACAGTGAAGAAGGAACCTTTTTCAAAACAAATATTGAGGCACTGCTCTTTCTAAGCAGTACTTAATTTACAGAACAAAACAGTACTGAACTCTCCAGGAAAGAAGACAATGTGATGGCAAGGTTGTAAATTGCAGATCAAGGAAGCTCTGTTCTAATATGAAATGTCGTTGACCTACTGTGAGAACCTAGAGAAGTCACTTAAACTTTTGTTCTCAGTTTCTCTACATAGATAAACATAAAGACAATACACTTAGCTTTTCACAGGAGTATTTTGAATTTAGGCTTATTTTAGTAAAATGCTTTGAGAATTTGAAAGGAAGAAAATGCAAAAACTGATATAAACTGTTATTACTCTAGCTTCACTTTTCAAAAAGGCCATTTACAATGTGTTCATTCTTTTCTAACCTTGGTTTTCTTGTTTATGTGTTTGACAACTGTAATTACTATAGCTCTAAATTGTCAAAGATAGGCTATAAATATCTACAGACTGTAAAAGCAGTTTAAGTGTCTTTTAACTGATATTCTATTAGCAGGATTAGAATTACCATAGATGCATTAGAAAAAAAAATCCACATGCATGTAAAGAGGAACCATTCTTTCAAACGGAAACAAATGGAAAGATTGAAGTAATGGCTTGTGTACTATCTTGTGCTGACAATTATTTTTTTTCTTAATTACTGTTTAGATTAGAAACAAAGGGAACTGAAATATTGCTGCAAACCTTATTATCCTGTTTAACTGCCTTTGTGTCTTAATAGGTAACTCTTTTTCCTAGGCCAGATGGTTTCAAATTCAAGCACTAGGGAGAAATCTAGATGCATTTAATTTATCAAAACTCCCTGACTTGCTCTCCGAGCATGGCTTTGGAACCTTGGCTGTGACGTAACATATGTGGGATCCTAAATGTACTTGAGAGTTTAAAGATTTTGTGCTATGTTTTTGGAAAACAAGCTAGAAGGATTTCAGTCTTCTTATGCTGACTCTACTTTCTGGAATTGCTCAGTTTGGAGGGCTGCTTATTCCCTTTTCATTATTAATGATGTAGTGGAGACTTACATCCATCAGTGCAGCATTAATGTAGTTACTGCTCTCCCCATCTATCGTTATGAGGAAAGGCAGGCATCTGTCTGGAGGCAGAACATCCATACAGCGATTCTTTTCATGATTTCGTGGTAAAAGTGCTATGCTGCAGTCTTCTACACGCAGTGTTGGAGTCACCATATTTAAAGTCTTTCAAAAAGAGTAAACAATACAACAGAAAAATTAACACAGCAGTGAAAGCATCCCAAAATATTTAAGAACAGAGCAGCTCAGCATTCAGTTTCAGTGGGAATCAATATGCAGAGAAATGAAAACACATGACAGTCAGCAGGGTTGGGAAGCAAAAGATCCTGGAAGCATACAGATCTGAAAAATAACCACAAAGACAGCTGCAGAGTAAACTGCCTCCTGGAGAAAAAACAGCAGAAGAAAACAACATACTTCCCTTGAGGAAAAAGAAGATTTTACTACTACCCCGTTGCATTCTTTTATGATTTAGTATAATTCAATAGCAATTAGTGACACATCATTTTCCATTTTTTTCACTATTTCTCTCCCAGGCCTGGTCCAAAAGTCACATGGTTATAAGCAAGCACTTAAGCAGAAGTCTTTAGTATAGCTGAACTGTGTAACTTCTAGGTAATGCTAGCCACAACTTACCCTAAATTCCTCTTTGATCTGGCTGGAGTTAGTCTGAGGATCCAGTTTATTCATTTCATAGTAAACAGACCTAACTTGAGAAGCTGGAATAGATGTGTCCCCACAAAGACAGGCTTCCAGGATAGCATCATGAATGAAAACATACTGTTCCTGGTAAAGCAATTAAAATGATTACTGACTTAGAGAGCATATGCTATTAGTACTGTGGTAAATAAAAAATAACAACTAATATGCTTGCCACTAATTCTCTCTGACTTTACCAGAACTGAAGTAAGACCAGAAGGAACAATAGTCATTCACAAAACTAGATCCCAGTCATTTAGAAATTAATACAGAAGGATTGCCTCAAACTAGTTACAAGTAGAAACAGAAGGACAGAAACACTCCATAATAAAACTCAGAATGTTTCTGGTTTCCTCATTCCTCTGCACAGTTCTATAGGTGCTACCACATAACTGAGTCTCAACAAGATGTACTCTAGAATGAATCCTCCCCACAAAGGAAACCCTAATGATTTTCCTTTTTTAAAAAAACCACATTGTGAACTATTTTCTGCATATGATTGAATAAACTAGCTTCTGGATGGTGCCTACCACAAAGGGGCTCTAGTTTTATGGGCTAGAAGAATACTTTTTCTTGCAAAGTGTAAGACAATATTCCAGTAGATTAAAAATACCTCAGTCTGCACCATGTTAACTCTCCGAGACCGAAGCTCTCTCACACAATTGTATATGTCTACAACGCCTTCTCTTTCTGCCATATCTAGCATGATGTCAATAACAATGAAGCACCCGGTTCTGCCAGCACCAGCACTGAAGTAAAAGAAGAGCACAGTTAATGTTCAGCAGTGTATTGGAAAATAAGAAGTAAAAGGGTTCATCTTGCAAGCACTTGATTAGTGGAATGATTATTGAAATTAAGGCTTGCATTCAGGCATTTGCAGGATTTCAGACTCAGTTTTGTCATTCTTGTTTATATTTCAGTATTAAATTCTTGTGGGTAGAGCTCCAGTGGCTTCAGCAACTCGTGTGGGGAAGATACAGTACAGGAGAAGCAAAAGTAGGTTCTGAGTTTAATGGACAGCACAATGAAGGCATCTCTGTTCTTCCTACCTGCAGTGAACAACCAGAGGGCCAGCGTTTGGTGGACTCTTAGATTTGACTTGCCGTACAAATCCCAGCAGGCCTGTTGCATGGTATGGTACACCGTGGTCTGGCCAGCCAGTGAAGTGAAACTGCCGAATTTCTCGAATCTCATGAGCACCTCTCTGTTGAAAAGACAAGGGTTAAAAAAGGAAAACAAGCTGGAATGTGAATTAAATTGGACAAGAGACATCATAAAAATGCTACTTCAAAAGCCTGAGCTGTGCTGCAAAACATGCACCCCCTACCAGGACCCATATCTGTACAGAGTGTTGGAGAGCTTTCTGATAGCAGGAGAGCAAGTTCAAAGGTTACATATCAATTGGTTTCATTATAACAAAACTGACTAATTTAGCACTAGATTGGTTGGAAACTTTTAGCAACAGGACAGATGCTCATCTCTATATTTAAGCACTAGGTTGCTTTGGAAATGGTGGCCTTAAGATGCATGTCATGATCACAGAACAGGTCAGCAGCAAGGCCATGAATATATAGCACAGACGACTTTTTTTTCCCACTGCTCTCCACAGGAGTTTTGCTGCTGATGTCACTGAACTACTATTTCAGCATAATTTTCCTTATCATTTGTCTCCTCCATTGGTCTGAAAGAAACAGCTGAATAGTAAGAAACTTCTTTGCACCTCCAATCATAGGGGCTGCATTTGTAGCCCTCCACATAGCCACCTTTCAAGTGATTTGCCACAGTCTTCATGGATATGGATATGGTGAGACAGGTATGAATGAGAAGCTGATTGTGTAAGCAATTTCCCATGTGACTTTCTGGAGCAGTCTAGATATTAGAGGTGTGTATGCCAAGTTTGATTTTCTTAGTGCCTGTATTTTCCCTTCCCCCTCTAAAAATGTAGCTGCTGGTATTTCATTCTCATTAGAAATCCACAGACCAGAGGCCATCATACATATTTCATAAGCAAACAGCAAAATTACAACATATCATGTCTAGGCTGGACTAAATGTCAGTGATATTAATAACTAGTGGTTTGCAGTTTTTATTCTTAAAGATGTATTTCCTGTCTTGAGCTGGTTTGCATATAAAAAGTCTAATTCTTTTTGCATAATGAAGTAATACAAACTTCCTAATTTGTTGCTATTATGCAAGCTAAAAGAGTCTGGGATTTTCAATGATTGAGAAATTTTGGCCATACAAGTGCTACATGACTGGAGTGGGCTTGGTGTATCTGGGAGTCCTGATGCTCTGACAGCTCTGGCTGGGGGTCTGCGGAGACTGGGCATCTTCTCAGAGGAATATCCTCACCTCACCCTCACCTCCCTCAGAAAGTGTGACACAAAAAGGCAGGCAAGGGAGAAGATGAAGAGCATACGTGACACTGGTGTAAACTGAGGAGATCACACCCTTGCAACAGAAATGACCTTATATCCTAAAACTCAATTTTAAAACATATTGAAACTCAGGAACAGACAAGGTTATTTGCATTTTAAGACAGCCTAGCAAACACATTCAAATACAATTTGGTTTCTGTACTCTGAGGATTTGAGTATTAGTTAACACATTTTTTTTGCTTCTGTAAGCAAGACTTCCAGCTCCATAAATAGTTTTGTGTAGGTGGGGTATCCATGTCCCAAACACTTTCATATTGCCCATAACAACTGCTCACAATCCCCTAAGAAACAAAGATCTCATACAAAACAGCAGTGTCATGACTATACAAACAGGACTAAAACAAGTACCCCACACAAATTCTTCACTCTGTATCAATCACAGCCTTGATTTTCAAGCAATTTATAAAAAGTAAACTGCCCCTCCAAAATAGTGTGCCCAGCTGTTGTGCAGATCAGGAGATGTCCAGTGTATTTTGTGCATTAGTTTTGAAAATGCTGACTGTCATGCTGCCTGCATTTTTGTCTTTCATTGGTAACACTCAGCTACTTAGAAAAGATTTTGCATATAGGGTACTTTTATAATGAGTTCGCTTATTATACCTACAAAAGAATGATTTTCATGTCTGTAGCTTCCCTGTTGATTTCTAAACCCAAAATAGCAACACAACTGCATGAACCATAAAATCATATGCTTAGCTTGGAAAGAATATATTTTTTACTTTTTCTTTCAGCTGAAACAAATAGAAAATGGTGTACATTGCTAACAAATCCTGGTACGTTAAAAGATGCTACAGATACCTATGGTGCTGCTGTATGTTACTATCCGATTAATTAATCTGAGCTAACTGTTGTGCTGTAAAACTGCTTATGCACACAATGTAAAGCGTGTCTAGGAAGTGGCCTTCAGAACCAGAGTGTAATTTTGGGTTTAACTTTCTTAGCATTATTCCCCTACGCCGCAATAAATACCAAATAGCTACTTTTAAATATAAAAATAAGTGATCAATTTATCTCCAATCAAACCCAATTCTAAATTGTATTTAGAAGCAGGTATGAGATATTCATCCACAAATAGAAAAGGTGGTCAGAAGTCACCTCTGGAGGTCTCCATTCCAACCTCCCACTCAAAGTGGGTCTATGGCCAATACTAGATCTGTCTACCTGAGCCCTGATGACCTGCAAGAATGGAGGTTCCACAGCTTTTCTGGGTAACTTGCTCCAGCACTGCACTTCTCTCCTCCTGAAGGAATTTTTTTCCAGTGCACATTGCCCCTTGTTTTGCCATCCACTGCCACTGAGAAGAATGATGAGAATTTGGTGCTCCTCATTTTCTGAACACCTTCGAAGTAGTTGCAGGCTGCAATTAGATCTTCCTTACCCCGCCTCCTCCTCTCTACCATATTAAACAAGGCCAACTCTCTTAACCTCCCCTTGCAGCTCGCATGTCCTACATCCTTAATCATCTTGGATGTCAGATGTTGTCCCAGGATGTCACAACCTGTACTGACACATAGGGTTAGTCCACCTAAGGCACAGAACTTTGCATTTTTCCTTGTTGAATTACTGAAGTTTCTGTGGGTCAAGTCCTTTGGAACTGAGGCTCCGATGTCCAGCGTTTCAACACCATCCTTCACTTAGTAATATCTGCAGATTTGGTTAGGGTGCACTCTGTCTCATTATGCAGCTTGTCTTCGAGAGGCTGAAAACTATCAGTCCCAGTAGATCAGAAATATAAACTCGAGAGAATTATGGTAGAAGAGATGTACAGACTAGACCTTCCAGTACCATTGGAAGAGTTAAAAAAAATGGAAAATAGGGTAAAAACAAATGTACTTTGCTCAAACTGCACAGACACTGCTTTTAGAGGCTTACTGAAAAACTAGCGACTATTAAAAAGCAGTGTCAAAATAAAATCTTTTCAGATGGAGATTTTTTTTAAGAAATAAAATGTTTAGTGCCTTTTATCTCAATCTGTTCTAATGCACTTATTCAAGACAGTTTGGTTATGATCAACTATGAAATCCTCTAGGTCTTTTTTTCCAGTCCCAGTTAAGAAGTGAAAAGCTAACATCAAAGCACAGGCTTAAAATTTGCAGAATAGAAATCAACCAGTGCTTCATCTACTTCAAAGTGTAGCCACCGTTTCTCATCTGTTTATTAAAAATATCTAAATGCAAGGAAACAACAGGCTTGAACGAATTTGATGTACAATACATATAGTGGTAAACATGATACAATATTTCAGTTTATTCAAACTGCATAATTCTATTAGCATTACCCTCAGGTTGCTGTATTGATGCATATTTAAGTATTAGATTGAAGAATAAACCAGGAAAAAATCTAATTCTTTTGTTACTGTGGATGTACGTACAGAGACCCTATTGGGACATCTTTTTGGCAGTTTCATCTATCTGGGTGCAGGACTCTGATGCTAAAGATTATATTCTTCAAAAACATAACTTAATGCTATTTCATCGTTGGAAAGAACTGCACTATCACAGGTACTGCAATTAAATCAAAAGAGTCTTGATACATATAATTTAAACATTTCTGTCCTTTAACTGCCTGAATAAAACCCCTGAATTAGCACAAAATGCATGACACTTCAGCTTTGACAGACCCTGCTTGCTCTCACTTTCAGTAAGTACCTTATTTGTTAATTGTATGTTGTCCATATATTGTAAATGGTTTGGGAGAGCTACAAGATCTAGTGAGCATCAAACAAATTCATGGCATTATTCTAATAAACATAATATAGCATGCTGATCAGAATTCTCCTTATAAAGATAGATTCCACATGAAAAGTGAAATTGCCTTGAGGAGAAAATTAGTTTGCTTCAGCTGTGTCTTTGCAGACCAGGAACACACCAGCCCAACAGATAACAGTATTCTCCACCATGGACTTCTGAATAATGGTGCATGCAGCCCCTGGCACAGACATAAAAAGATTGTGGGGAACATAAGATGGAAAAAC